AAATTTAATTTTAGTTTACATAAATAAAATTTATTTACATACTGTTTATCTCCCTATAATGTTTTCTACAAAACAACATTAAGAAAAAAAATTAGAATTGTAAATAAATTGATCAATAGCTCAAATTAAAGTTAAATCAATTAGAAACAAAGAATAGAAGAGAAGAAGAGAGGAAATTGGGAGAATATAAATTAAAAATAACATGACTATAATGTAGTTATAAGCAAAAAGCAAAAAAAAAATTCGGCAGCATTTTGATGCAAGAAGAAGGAGGAGAGACAGATAAGGGAGAAGAAAGAGGAAGGAAGGAAAGAAAAAATAAATGACCAACACAGATTTGATAATATATAGAGCATTTTATCTATGTGTTTGTTGTCGAAATAATATTTATCAACAAAATCCACGTAGGCAGAAAGTGAGTTTCAACCGGAATAAAAAAATAGAAAAATTTTGAAATCCCACTTTTTATTTGCCGATAAGATTTGCGTTGGTAATCTAACATCCTCCTTTACCGACTACATTTATGTTGGCAAGTTAAAGTGCATTTACCAATGAGCGGTTGAATCAAGTGGTAAGCGGCTTGTTCTAGCTTAAGTAAGGTCTTGAGTTCGAAACCTTGTGAACGCAGCACTCTTGCTGGGAGACTCACCCACCATTTCTAAGTGCGCGACGCGAGTCGAATCCGGATTAGTCGGGCCAAAACTTCGATACCGGATGGGAAACTGAAAAAAAAAAATTAAAGTGCATTTTGACAATCCCGCCACCCACTACTAATGGGAGATATATTGGCAGCCAACTTTTCCAACGTGGTCATGATTTGTAAAAAGGTAAAACCAACATTCTGCACCAACTCTTGAGGCTAAACCACACACTTAACCTCTTATCTTATTCAATTTGAAGTTTTTAACCTATTACTTTATACTATAAAATTTTTAACCTTTAAATTTAAAGATTTGAAAATTTTAACCCCTTGACTAACATAATCCATTAACTCTCCATTAAAGTAAAATATTTACAAGATCAGTCCTCTAAAATTTAAAATTTAATAATTTAGTTTCAAAAGTTTAAAATTTAAAAAAATTAGTAAATTAAAAGGAATTAACAGATGAATTTTCCATGTATACTAGAACAATATTAGATATCTATAACAAATTGAGTGCATAGCTTAATTTAAAGAAAGAATTATAACTGAGATTAAAGAAAATTTTTTAATTGAGTCAAGAAAAAAACTCCAAGAAACTAAAAGAATATAATTGAGAAATTTTCTTTAGTTTCAATCAAATTTTTTTTCTTTAGATTGACCTAATCACTCAATTTTATTTTAGATATCTAATATTTGTTCTTATGTACATGGCAAAGACATTCATTAATTATTTTTAATTTAGTAAATTTTTAATTTTTAAACTTTTGAAACTAAATTATTACATTTTTAATTTTTGAGGATTGATCTTATAAATATTATATTTTTACTTTAACAGAGGGTTAATGAATTTCATTAGTCAAGGGGCTAAAATCTTCAAACCTTTAAATTTAAGGACTCAAAAACTTCATAATATAACGTGAAGGACTAAAAGCTTTAAACTTAATAAGGTAAGGGATCAATTGTATACTTTAGCCCAACTCTTGGTTGCTAGGAAAGCAGACCTACCAACGAGAAGCTTGTTGGTAAAATGAAAAAGCTTACCAACTCCTGTAGTTCATCAGAATCCTACCTCACCAGTGCCATCATTGAGAAGATGATGGTAGCAGAAAAATATAGCAACTGACAAGAAACTTGTCGGTATATTGGTAGGCTATCACCGAGCAAATGCAAGTTGCAACATGACTAAGTTTTCGAGGTGAGCTTCATTGGTAAGAGCAAATCTAACCACTAGCCGGAAAAGTTTTGCCGACTCAATATTACCGACAATATTCATGTTTCTGTAAGATAAAATTACTGATAAAGTACTCATCTGAACTTTAAATAATATAACTTAATGTTAATTTTACTGTTTTACTTTGTGCAGACATATTTTCTATCAGTAAAGTAGTAGTTCATCGACAAAAACTTTTACATTGATGATATTTGATCAATAATTTAAGGTTTTCTAGTAGTGATGGGACTTGTTGCTGATAGTCTCATTAATAGTAATAAGGCTACCTCATTTTCAGCAACAAGTTCTTTATTGCTGATACTCTTATGAATAATAGTAAGCCATTGTACTTTCAACAACAAGTCTTTCTTATTGATGGTCTAATGAATAGTAAACCACTCCACTTTTAGCAACAAGTTCCTTGTTGCTGATTATCTTGTACATAATACAAGCACGCATGCCTCCTGCCAATTAGCAAGATGTTGCTAATTATTCTATGAATAGCGAGCATCCTACTTTCAACAAGAAGTTCCTTGTTGCTGATTATCTCCTAGCCTTTCAGCATCATATTCCTTGTTGTTGATTATCTTGTACATAATACAAGCATGCACGCCTCTTGCTAATTAGCAAGATGTTCCACATCAATGATGCTCAAAAATCTCATTTTTCAATTGTTTTACCAAAAAGTGGTATATTGTTGAAAAGGGTTTTACTTTGAAAAAAAATACAAATTCATAAATTTTTTTTACTAATATTATGAATATATATTTTTCAATTACATTGATATTTAAAAAAATTTAATTACTTTTTTTTCAGCCTATCATTATAGAATTTAACAATAATGTATTATTTAATTATAAAATTTACTTTTTATAATTATTATCACTAAATAATAAATTTCATTATATCTCATTCATAATATAATAAAATATATGAAAAAAATTATAACTAAATAATTAGTATTTATTTTAACCTACTATATCTAATGTTTATCTAATTAAATACATTTAAAATACACATCTAAAAGTAATTAATATTGGTTCAGGGAGCTTACTAAACTTGAATTTTGGTTGGTAATGTCTTTTACCTACAAAACAAACAAAATACCAAAATTAATAATTATTATACATATAGTTATTTATAGTTTTATTAAGTCTTAAATAAATTGAAACATATTTAATCACTTAATATTTATAAAAATATTGAATACAATAAAATCACAACATATACTCCAAGAGAATGAAGAAGTTGATGAAAATTAATTTAATTACTAATATATGTTTGAGAATTTTATGATAAAAGATAATAAATAAATGATACTTGATACATCATTAATGGATAAAAATAAGTGAAATATGGGTGATTTGTGCAAAAATGGCAAAAAAAAAAAAAAAAAAAGGGAAATGGAGGAGGCATGTAGAAAGCATACAGTAGAGAATGAGAAGAGAAATATGAAAGCATTGGTCAACTCAATTGAGGTGGGAGTATATATAAGGCCTTCAACATCATATACCATGTTACTAAAGGTTTTCCTCCCAATCAGAAACATATTCCATGTTATTAAAACCTGGTTTAATTTGAAAAAGCATAAGTCATCACTGACATCTATCTCATTGCTAAAAATTCAAATTACCTTTCCCGCCCATTCTGTCATTCATATACTTAAAAAAAAAAGTTATTTTATCTCTATAATTGAAATTATTAGTTGATTTTTGTGACTTTATTAAATATTGCTTAATATTTAACACATTAATTAATATAATTACGTTATTTACTCCTTATTTAAATGATTTAAGTCTCTAACTTATCTAAAAAAATAATGTGGACATCCTTTTTGGTTTACAAAGTATTTCACATATAAATATAAGATATTTTTTGCTTAAGAGTGGACTATTAAAAATGAGAGTGGATTCTTTCTCATTAAGAGTCGACTCTTCACATGGAGAGTCGACTCTAGCCTACGTTGTCCAGAACTTCTTGACTCTCTAGAATTTGGATGTCAAATCTTTTCCTTTTAGAGTCAACTTTGCCTGCATCCTTAGAGTCAACTCTTCACATGGAGAATCAACTATACCTTGCACCTAGAACTTCTCGACTCTTTGGGTTTTAGGAGTCGAATCTTGACATTCTAAAGTCAACTTTGAGTGCCTCAAGAGTCGAATATAAGTTTTTAGAGTCAACTCTTTATTGGAAACACATATTCTGCATGTACTATTTAGCTTAACCAGCATGGATAAATAAATGATGTGTCAAAATATAATTATCTAATTCATTTAAAATTACAATTTTGCCCTCATCTTCTTCCTCAGCATCCTCTCTCTTAAATCCTCTTCATTCATTCTTCTTTTTCTCTCTCTTTGCCTCCTCTGAATCCACTTTCATCACCATTTTTTTTGAATCAAACAATCAATTCATCAATAATTTTTCTCGAAGTCCACTTTCATCACCACTTTTTCAAACCCATGAAAGAACCCAGTGGCTACTGGGTTCAAAATCAAACGAACACCTACTGGGTTCCATCAACTCAATGCCTATTGGGTTCGAAATTGAACGCCTATTTTTGGCTTTCTTTGTTTTTCCTTTTTCCCTTTCTTCTTCCTCTTCCTTTCCTTTCACTTTCTATAAGCTCAAACACCTTCTAACATCAAATCCAAGTATAACACAAGCATAAACCCAAATTCTCCCCAAAATAACCACTAGCCCTCTCAGCTTTCCAAAAAAAACCCAAAAAAATCAAGGTATCTTCTCTCAAATTTCAACAAAAACCCAATTAAAGCACCTAAAACAAAGACCAAAAATCAACTGTAAAAAGAAGAAAAACCCAGACCAATCAAAATCTAGCAAATTTATTGGGTTTGAAAATCCCCAGCAAAGCTACTGGCTTCCAT